ATTGTTTTCTAACATTTTCACAATATAATACTACTCCTGTTATTTTCACAGAACGAGCGAGTCAACTTGTACAGCGAAGAAACTCCCCCTCAAACTGTGAATGTCGGTGCTTAGCTGTTTTCGATAAGTGTCAGGACGAGGACAGAGGGACTGAACTGGACAATACAACGTTCAATGTTATTTCAATAACAACAATTCCAAATAATTGGCTCACTTTCATGATTATTTCTGTTTTTTCTCTCTTCATTTTTCGTCATATGAGGGCAGTAATGATGTATAAACGTACCACACACTGATCTGTAATGATGTGTAAACACACTGATCTGTAAGGACTGTAATGATGTGTAAACACACTGATCTGTAAGGACTGTAATGATGTATAAACGTACCACACACTGATCTGTAAGGACTGTAATGATTTATAAACACACTGATCTGTAAGGACTGTAATGATGTATAAACACACTGATCTGTAAGAACTGTAATGATGTATAAACGTACCACACACTGATCTGTAAGGGCTGTAATGATGTATAAACACACTGATCTATAAAGACTGTAATGATGTATAAACACACTGATCTGTAAGGACTAATGATGTATAAACACACTGATATATAAGGACTGTAATGATGTGTAAACACACTGATCTATAAGGACTGTAATGATGTATAAACACACTGATCTGTAAGGTTGTAATGATGTATAAACACACTGATCTATAAGGACAGTAATGATGTATAAACACACTGATCTATAAGGACAGTAATGATGTATAAACACACTGATATGTAAGGACTGTAATGATGTATAAACACGCTGATATGTAAGGGTTTATACATACATACATTTATACATCATTACAGTCCTTATAGATCGGTGTGTGGTACATTTATACATCATTACCGTCCTTATAGATCGGTGTGTGGTACATTTATATATCATTACAGTCCTTATAGATCGGTGTGTGGTACGTTTATATATCATTACAGTCCTTATAGATCAGTGTGTGCTATGTCTATACATCATTACAGCCCTTACAGATCAGTGTGTGTATACATCATTACAGCCCTTACAGATCAGGGTGTGTATACATCATTACAGTCCCTATAGATCAATGTGTTTATACGTCATGACAGTCGTTACAGATCAGTGTGGTGTATAAACATACCACACACTGATCTGTAAGGGCTGTAATGAGGTGTAAACACGCTGATTTGTAAGGGCTGTAATGATGTATAAACACACTGATCTGTAAGGGCTGTAATGATGTATACACACACTGATCTGTAAGGGCTGTAATGATGTATACACACACTGATCTGTAAGGGCTGTAATGATGTATACACACACTGATCTGTAAGGGCTGTAATGATGTATACACACACTGATCTGTAAGGGCTGTAATGATGTATAAACACGCTGATCTGTAAGGTTGTAATGATGTATAAACACACTGATCTATAGGGACAGTAATTATGTATAGACAGACCAAACACTGATGTGTAAGGACCGTAATGATGTATAAACACACTGATCTATAAGGACAGTAATTATGTATAGACAGACCAAACACTGATCTGTAAGGACCGTAATGATGTGTAATCGTACTGGTCTATAAAACGAACCAAGCTCAGTTCTCACAACCACTTATCATATTAAACAAGGATGTCTAGCGAATTTTGACTCTTCAGTTACATATCGTCATCAGTTCCTTCACCCGACCTGCTTTTCTATTAACCCTAGAATTATCGATGAGGTACACATAGACTCAATGTGTTTTTAAACACATTTTGTCTACATTTTTGTAAGTACTAAATTACTTGTGGGTCCATTACTTTTCTGTTGATTGAGTTGCTAATAAAACACACGAAATGTATATAAAATATCATCAATATTGCAATTAATCTCACTAATTTCTGCTAAGGTCCCCCATGTATTTGGCAAAAAGCTTTGTTTTTTATCCGTTTTCTACCCGGAGTGGTGTATCAGACGAAAACATAAAATTATTCGCATTTTGCAATATGTCGACCCCCCCTCGGAAGTGAACGGTATTAAATCACGTTTTTTTTTTCTTCTTCTTTTCGGTTATTTGAGCAAAGTTACAAAAGGGCTATCTGCGCTGGCTGCCCGTAATACTGAAATTATAGACTCGGGGAAAGGCAGCTTATCAATTCTTAGGCTACTTTAGTCGAATGAGGAGACTCAATCGTCACTTGTATAATACCCTCAAGGCCTCAAAGTGGGGAGCGTGATTTAAATAAAATGCGTTCAAAGGACGCGAACTCTGGACCCCTCCATCCATAGTCCAGCACGCTAATCACTAAGGACATGACCGATATTTTTAAGAGTATTGTGTTTATGTTCGAAATGATTGGTGGAAGGTTCTCTCAAACGAAACAATATTTTTTTTTTTTTATTCACCAGATGGATTCTTGTCTTATCAAAAAAATTTATTAAAAGCTGTCTTTTAAAATGGAATACAAGCCCGCAAATACCTGAAAGTTTACCATAATTTATACGATAAGTATTCTTGTAGTGAGGTTTAAATATGCTTTACTGCTTTTGTATTGTCTGTAATATCTTTTTCACATTTTTGGCTACTGTTTTTCGTATTCCCTTCAGATGGAACCACAACTTCCGTTTTGTTTTTTGTTTTTCTCAACAATTTGCTCGTCTTCTTTTTTCGCTTTAGTTTAGGTTTCGTGACGATAGGGGGAGGGGAGCAATCGGATTCACTACTTTTCATATTTTTGCCACATTTGGAGTTTAGTTTATCTTTCTCGCGTTTCCGGCCCAGTTTGGAACGTCGGGTTGTTACACCAATGTTGTTTCCTTTCTTCTCGGGTTTGGCGGAATCTGATAAGTTCATTGAAAGGGCCATAAGGCGGGAAATGTCAGTGGATTCAGAGGGCTCCTCGGAAACAAACTGTCGTACAAAATATTCGTAACTGAACTCCTCGGGCTTCCCATCGTCACCAGAGTCCTCCAAGATCGATCTGTGCCTTCTTGAATACCTTCCTAAGGGTACTTTAGACTTATTGTCGGTAGGCCTAAGCATCATCCGGTCATTTCTCGTACTTCTCTTTCTGACGTCCACGCCATCTTTCGTCATTGTTTTCATCTTGAGCCTATCTAACTGAACAAACCTGAAATAAAGACAAATCAAATTCTACTCATATTTTCAACATATTTGGTTAATATGAAATTTCAGCTTTTGTTGTGCTGATGATTCTGAATTAATATGAAATAATTAGTTATTCAGTCTAGATGTTAAGAAATCATCATATTTTTAAATGCCCTCTCGATCTGTACTTAATAAAGGTCAACAGTGGTTTTAGGTGGATACAATCAACTGATTTTTATGAATGTGGTGTAATATGTATTTTTTTGTGCCTTTAAACGTTATTTTAACATACTGATTAATTTTTTACACTTTCCACAATTAAAAAATAATGCATCCATTTCAGGATGTAACACTATATAACGGGCCCGGC